GTATAATAGTCGATCAGTTTCTTAAGCCATCCAAGCAGTGTACTGTTGCTAGTGGTAGGGCAAATAGGATTTTAGGTTGTATCTACAGAAATATTGAATACAAGTCCAAAGAGGTTATAATTTTATTGTATAAGTCACTGGTTAGGCCACATTTAGAGTGTTGTGTTCAGTCTATAGCTCTTTACCTTAGGAAGGACATTTAATAGTTGGAAAAGGTTCAGAGAAGGGTTACTAGAATGGTGCCTGGGATGTAGGGGTTGTCATACGAGGAAAATTTGAAATATCTCAAATTGTTTTCTCTTGAAAATAGAAGAGTTAGAGGAAATCTGATTGAAGTGTTTTAGATTGTAAAAGGAATTGATAGTGTTGATGCATCATCTTTTTTCATACCTAACAGTGAGAATAGTAGGACTAAGGGACACAAATATTAATTTTGGCAGGGTGGGAGTCATTTTCAGTTTAAGACAGTTTTATTTTTTTAACTGGATGGTTGGCCTTTGCAATGGGTTACCTTCGGATGTTGTGGAGGCAGTAAATTTAAGTGAGTTTAAGAGAAAGCTTGATAAGTATGTGAATGATAAGGGCTGACTTTAAGATTTTTTCTAAGTTTATTTATTAATAGTTTTAGTTTAGTTTTGAGGATGGGACAACCGAGATGGACCAATGGTCCCATGTTGTCCCAAAACATTATGTTATGTTTAATGTCTGTGAAGTCTCACCTTAGTGTCAATGAAAACATTGTTATCTAATATTTTCCACAGGAGCGGATTGTATTTTTGGTCTGATTTAAGTTTGTGTCTGTTTCTTCGTACCTTTCAGCCCCTATAATAGTAGGCCTGTAAAGATATGGAGTCAACGTACTCAGGTTTAATGTTTGTGACGTCAAATTTTTAGTGTTAATGAAAACTTTGAAATTTAATTTTTTACACAGAAGATGGCTCGGATGTTTGGTCTGATTCAAGTGGAAATGACGTCAGAAATATTAATGTGTATTTTATAGAGAGGTGTGTTGCCGTAAAAATCCATCAAACGCTGTCGTGTCTATTGACAAACAAGATTAACTTTTTTATATAATAAACAAGTTGAATCCGTGAAATTCTGCAAAAAATGAACTGTTTTTTATTTATTCTATTTTAGGAGTTAGGTATGATAAACATTTCTGACACTGATTATGTACCTCAGAGTAAAATGCCGAGAAAAAGAAAAACAACTCTGATTGTCAATCACAAGCAGCAAAACGTATGCAATAAAAGCGATAGAGTGAGATTCCACAAGAAACCAAAAATGTCGTTTATCCAGAGGTGTTGTAATGATGTTAAGAAGGGGTGGGGTGAACTATACAATAAATCTATGATTTCATTCATTTTCTTAAATTTTTACGCTCTTAAGCCATTGATCTCACGGAAAATATGACCATCTGACATGTATTGTTACATGAAAAGCGAAATTTTTATCCTTTCTGTTTAGAAATAGCTAAACATCGGTTCTCTGTTAAAGTAATTGTTTGTTTTGAATTTCGCGCAAAGCTGCACGAGGGTTATCTGCGCTAGCCGTCCCTAATTTAGCAGTGTAAGACTAGAGTGAAGGCAGCTAGTCATCACCACCCACCACCAAATCTTGGGCTACTTTTTTACCAACAAATAGTGGGATTGACCGTCACATTATAATACCCCAACGGCTGAAAGGGCGAGCATGTTTGGTGGGACGGGGATTCGAACCCGAGACCCTCAGATTGCGAGTCGAGTGCCCTAACCACCTGGCCATGCCGGGCCCTGCTGAGGTAATACCTGGGCAACGCCGGGTAAGGACAGTTAGTAATATAATTTAACAATTAATAACAACTTTGCAGGAAGATAGTACAGTACTTTACTATAATAAAACATACATATTTATACTAATTTAAGACTGACTCCCCGTGCAATGTTACAACAGAATGAGGATTGGTTGACTTTTCACTGGGTACTGCTAACTCTTAGGCTACTCTAAGTGACTAATAGTTGGCAGTGGGTACTGTTTATTATATGCCTTCCCTTTATTCTATCAGTTCAAAATTAGACGGCTTGCGCAAGTAATTTATGCAACTGTGCAAAAGTGTTCAGAACAAAAAAAATACAATACTTCCAGCTGCACACTCTGACGATGTATATGAAGGATAGGTGTGATCCTAATGTCGGATTACTACTCTATGTTGTGCTATTTTGTCATTCATTCAATTTGTTATTTGTTATCTTAATAAACACATTTTTTAAATGTACTACATAAACAGGTTTCTTCTTCTTCATAGCAGATAATCTCAGATTTTAAGCTACTATAAAATTATGCTATTTAAGGGCCTTTCATTGATCACTAGACGTTGTTAGGCAGGATTATATGAAGTTTAGTATATACTGATGTCACTCTTTTCAAGGGACAGGGAATCAGTGATAGTGCATGAATTAACTAATTAGTTTTTATTTTATTTGTTTTGTAAGACAGTTATGTTTTTTCTTTTGTTTCAGTTTTATTAGCGGTATTGGTTTAAATGTTCAATACATACAATATAACTTTCTTATTTAGTTGTTATATAGATTTTTATTATGAGGATTATTTTGCACTTTCAGCTTAGTATATGGGTTTAAGCTAATCAAAATCACCGAAGCTGGCCGAACCCCATGGGATATTATTGGGATTATGGTCGAAAATATCGATAACAAAGAGGATACCCAACAGACAAATCAATGCATGCTACTCATTTTAACTTTTATTTTGTGACATTGAATTATTTTATGTAGACTGGTATATGAAATTAGCTGAATTAATTTTTAGTTCTGATCTATGTAAGTAGCTTGCTTGGATCAGAAGTCATCAGGGGTGGATTAGTATTAAAGGACCAGCTCAGGCAATATTACATGTTGCATACTGGCTAAGAATGTGTCAAATGCACCAGCCCACCGAGCAATTGCCTAGTGTCCCAATAGGCCAATCCTCCTCTGGAAGCTATTAATAGTTCGGGTCAATGATGACCTTTGTTCTTGGGATGACTTGATAGACAGCTGAACGAATCAGTCTAATATTCAACATGTTACATTCTGTCGGATGACATCTGTCACGTTTGTCAACGTAGCAGGTACCCAATGATACACAACTACCCTTAGGTATCTCTATAAAGAATAGTCAAGTGAAACATCTCACAATATGTTGAATATTGGAAAGCTTCATTTAGCTGTCTAATACGTTATTCAGAGTTGCAGGCTGTCGTTATCATGAATGGTGGCAAAAATTGAGCAGATGTATCGCCTTCTGATGACCATTTCCTATAAACATGGATTCTTGTTCTCATTGGTATATCCTTCCAAAATTATTGCTCTGTGGCCAATAGTATTAATTTTATTAACGTTCGAACACTCCCATAAACTTTATAAAAAACATGTATATAATTTCATTATAGGTTAAGTTACTTATCAGTCACATTTAGTACTCAATGGAAACTAAAACCAAATACCTATTTCAAATTGCCACAATCAATTATTGTGGTTTTGCAAAGCTTACAACAATCAACTTCCATACCACCCACACTTATGAAAAAATTTATACCAGTGACTTAAGATTGATTTGCATAAAAAGGCTAGAAGAATTCTTGCCGTGAATCACAAAGGATATCTGCGTTTTGCCTACTGCAGGTATTTTATACCCGATTTTTAGCGCCATAAGCCCCAGACTTGCTGCTGAGAACTTAAATTATTTTTTTGAATGTTTACAACATATGAAGTAATGGATTTAAGCGATTTTAAAAATATTAGAAGGATAGTTTTATTATCTTCTGGCTCATAGCTAATTATTCTTTTTCAACTATCAAATTAATTAAATATCGTTTTGTTTAATTGTGAATGCTCGACTGGAAGGAACAGTACGGGAAGTAAGTATTGTTACGTCTCCGTTTGTTAATTGATTTTTCCGTAACTTCGTTCCGACGAAATTTT